ATATATATATATATATATATATATATTATATATATATATATTCAATTTATAAATAAAAATTGAAAATAAAGTAAATAATAGAAAAAATACTAATTTTACCAAATCTAGGACGATGACTGTTTTCCATAGCTGACTGCCTCCGGGAATTAGCAAGACTATCAAATTGTATATGCATCCAATGCAATCAACAATAACACACAACCTGTAATAAATATATTTATTAACATTAATTAATTAATTAATTTCAAAAAAATACAGAAATTCTTATTAAAGCTTGCAATAGCGAATAAATTTATATATAATAAAAAATAAAAAAATTGGGCCATATAAATCAATATCTTGAAATTAAATTATGTTTACTAGAATCAATAATACAAGAAAATCAATAAAAAAAAAAAAACTTACAAGAAAGCATCCCAGTCAAGGTATTTGACTGAAACGGTGTCGTATTGTGAATTGCAGACCTTTTCATGTGCCATGAACATGGTAATGGCAGCAATCAGAAAAAGCAAAACGACTATTGCTCTCATTACAATACTTTTCATAGGCTTTCCTGTAGCCATTGGGATGTATGAGAATATCAGAAAATTAAAATTTTACGAAAAATTGACTCGTAAGATAGCGGAGTGTTACAATTGGTATCAGAGAAAATGAGATTTTAAATGTAGATAACAAGATTTATGTAATGGAAAATGTTTTTTAGTTTGGTAATAGATTATGTGTACAAGTAATTCCATAATTACCTCAATTCTTTTTGTGTGTAAAAGGTTGTAAATCTTTATCCAAATATATGTAGTCTATATAGAAATATACGGTAATTATTGAAAGTAATTAAGTAGTATAGAATTATAAATATAAGGAAAGAAAAACAATTTACCAGCCAAGATAGTGAACATATTTGGATGCAAAGTATTTTTCTTCCACTATTTTCAGATTAAATAAAAAAAAAAAATAATTGTCCGTCTATATATAATTTTTAAATATATTGAATCTAAATAATACATATTTGATTACGAAATCGTTGGTCAATTAGTAATTTTTAAAATTACCATCTATTATTTTACCCTTCACTTGTATTAGATTTTTGAAGGTAATGAACTTTTTACTTTCGGAAGTTGGCTAATCTTTACACTTCTTTTTTTTTTTTTT